AGCTACTAGGATTTCGGGATGGAGAGGAGGAGATGAATAAAAAAGCAACATTAAAAGGAGTCTTGTGGGGCCTCCCCGGTGGCGCAGTGGTTGAGTGCTGGGTTGCGAAGCTGCCCACAGCCTCTGCGGCGCCGGTTCCATCCCCGGCTGCTCCCCGGCCACCGGAGGAGGGTCCCGCATGGCGCGCAGACCTCTCCTGCCACCCGCTGCTCCCCTCAGCAGTGTTCTTGGGTCCTTCTGCCTGCTCTGCTCCCAGCTCTGGCTCTGGTGAATTCTCTCACCCTCCCGCGCTTCTGACTGTACCCAGCGCATGTATAAACAAAGAAATAAAATAAATAAATAAATAAATAAATAAATAACATGCCTCTATAAAATAAAAAAATAAAAATAAAATTAGGAAATAAAAAGTTTCCAGGTGGGCCTCCCTGGTCGTGCAGTGGGTTGAGCGCCGTGCCGTGAAGCTGTCTGCAGCCTCTGCAACGCAGGTTTGATTCCCGGCCAGCCAGGGAAATTCCCACATGGCGCAGTAGCCCTCTGCAGTGTCTTCGGTCCTTCTGCCTGTTCTGCTCCCAGCTCTGTCTCTGGTGAATCCTCTTACCCTCCCGTGTCTCTGGCCTGTACCCCAGCTCTTGTACAAATATAAATGAATCCTTAAACAAACAAAAAAAAGAATCAAAGAAGATATATTAAAAAAAAAAAAAAAGTTTCCAGGGCCTCCCAGGTGGTGCAAGGGGTTAAGCACATCACTGTGAAGCTATCCAAGGCCACTGCAGCAGAAGTTCGATCCCCCACTGGTCAGTGAGCTATCCACATGGCGCAGCAGACCTCTCCTGTCTTGCCCACTGCTTCCCTCAGCAGTGTATTTCAGTCACTCTGCCTGTTCTGTTCCCCACTCTGTCTCTGTTGAGTCTTTTCACCCCCTGCACCTATGGCCTACATGAATAAATAAATCTTTAAAAAAAAAAAAAAGGAGTTTCCAAATTCTGTTAAATACTCATAAGATCTAGCAATCCTAGGATCCCTATTGCCACAAAACAACAATTTATTTGGATTGAGGCTTCCACCTTTACATGGGCATGGGCTTTTCAGTTCATCACTGTTTCTGCCAATTTCCACAGTTTGTACCAACTCACTTGCCTCATTTATATTATCCATCTACCCCCTCCACCATTTTGATTTGCAAATCTGCATTATAAACTATGCATTCCTTGGGAGTGGAGAACTGCCAGGTCTTATTTATCAAATTGTCACACCTATCCCATGGCTAGCACCAAATAGGCATTCAATGCTGAGTCACCTAAGCAGCATGGGTCATTTAAAAAAGCAAAACAAGGGCCTCCCCGGTGGCGCAGCGGTTGAGCGCTGGGTTGCGAAGCTGCCCGCAGCCTCTGCAGCGCCAGTTCGATCCCCGGCTGCTCCCCGGCCACCGGAGGAGGGTCCCACATGGCGCGCAGACCTCTCCTGCGGCCCGCTGCTCCCCTCAGCAGTGTGCTTCGGTCCTTCTGCCTGCTCTGCTCCCCGCTCTGGCTCTGGTGAATTCTCTCACCCTCCCGCGCTTCTGACTGTACCCAGTGCATGTATAAACAAAACAAAGAAAGAAAGAAAGAAAGAAAGAAAGAAAACATGCCTCTCTATAAAAAAAAAAAAAAAAAAAAAAAAAAAAAAAATAAAAAAGCAAAACAAAAAAATTGTAGTCTGCCACTTCTGGGTACCAGGCAGCCAAGGAATGGGCTGAAGTCTTTGAGACATCAGTAGTCAGAGTTCTACTTTTCCCTAGTAGAACACCCCAATCAGCACATATTATATTAAGGTTTTAAGGAGTTTTCCTTGAAAATTTTCCTAGTTCCCTACCAACTATAGGAAAAACACCAGATAAGGAGTCAGAAAACTTAAGCTGTAGGTATATCTTTAACTCTAACTGGACAGTTGACCTGTTTTCTCCTCTTTTAGAACGAAGGAATTGAAATATATTTTCAAATCATAAAACTTTATGTTCATTTAATCTCTGTTCTTAGGGGTTATCGTCACCATTTCCTGCATCTTAAAAGATCACCTCTTTTTGCTACAAAAGGTCCTTGAAAGCCAAATGGGGTAGGACAGAAAAAAGGCTACTTCTGAATATGGCACCATCCTGGATCCCTAAAGGTACAAAATCCTAGCATTACATAAATCTAGGTAAATCTTAGCATAATCAAAGTCTTGTTTCTAAGGGATTCTGTTCTGATCTTATTTTTTCTGTTCTAAATTTACTAAGCAGACTACTGCATTTAGAATGGCAAAAACAGTTCTTTCACAATACATTCCATCTCCATGTAAATACAACACTCAAAGTGTTAGTCATAGAACATATTTTTGAATTTTAAAACATAATTACACTTCCTTTTATTTTTCTGATGTTCCAAATATCTGCCTATGTTTGGCTTTTTTTTATTACCTAAGCAATTGTATTTCCTTCATCATTCTTTCTGAGCTCTGTAAATTCCTTAAGACCACTCGTTTTTCTTAGTTATTTTAAGTTCCAGAAAGTACAAGTTTACAAGAGATACAGTCCGGCCTAAAAGGGAGAAAACACAGGAACTTTGCAACTCTTAACTTTGTTTGAACCAACAGCAGTCCATTACAGATATAAAAGGATTAAAGTAAAAAGTAATCTATTTTTACAATTTCCTAGAAACAAAGTTCAAATTCCACCAAACAGTTACTCAAAATAACAAATCAGTGTAAATAAAAATCCAGTTGCACAATTTTGATCTTCCCATTTAGTTGTGGCTACTTATAACAGCTCCTGAATGCCCAATAGCATTCTCTGAAATGATATATTATCAGTCATTCATATGATGCTTAAGAGAAAGTTCTAATTTACTTAGTTAGTAATTTAGTTTCTATAGCCTCTTAAATCTTGCTTTCTCTTCTAGACTTTCCCATGTTATGCAACACATCACCTCATTAGTTCTTCTTGGTGATATGAACAGTCCCAGTACAGTATAAAAAGGCACACAGGACCTCCCCTGGTGGCACAGCGGTCAAGCGCTGGGCTGCGAAGCTGCCCGCAGCCTCTGCAGCGCCAGTTAGATCCCTGGTTGCTGGGCAAGGGTCCCACATGGCACGCAAACCTCTCCTGCCGCGCCTGCTGCTCCCCACAGCAGTGCATTTCGTCGGTCTGCCTGTTCTGTTCCCCGCTCTGGCTGCGGTGAATTCTCTCACCCTCCCGCGCTTCTGACTGTACCCAGTGCTTGTATAAATAAATAAATAAATCTTTAAAAAAAAAGAAAGAAATACACTGTGGGTCATACCAGCAACTTGTTTACTATGTGCCTTTTTTTTTTTTTTTTTTAAGATTTATTTATTTATTTATACAAGCACTGGGTACAGTCAGAAGTGCGGGAGGGTGAGAGAATTCACCAGAGCCAGAGCGGGGAGCAGAGCAGGCAGAAGGACCGAAGTACACTGCTGAGGGGAGCAGCGGGCGGCAGGAGAGGTCTGCGCGCCATGTGGGACCCTCGCCATGTGGGACCCTCGCCCGGTGGCCGGGCATCGAGGACAGGGCCACTGTGCCACTGGGGAGGCACCCACAGTGTATTTTTAGGCAGCGAATTACCAAGAGCAAGAGCATAGCCCTAGAATACTCAGAGACAAATCTGTTTTGATACAAAGTCTCTCAACCATTTTTAGCTTCAAAAAGCCTGAGGGAAAGTATAATTATCATTTTATCAGTATCAGAAGCAGTAGAAATGGGATCCCTGATAGGATATAGGGTTATTCCCAAGTTTGTTAAGAATTCAGGAGATTAGTTGTGAATTCCAAACATTTTAACACATACACTTCCTCACCACACACCTACCCCTGACATCTTCACTCTTGGGAATTTCCAAGCTAGTACTGAGAAGATGAGAAAAGTTTAGTTGTTAAAATTTTTAAAAAATTTAAAGAGAATCACCTAAGTTCATCATCACTACCAGAATGAAGAATTCTACTATATTTCTGATGCTGGTTGTAACTGATATTGGCCACTCATTTCTTAGCTGTCAGTTAAGTTTAAGAAACAGAAAATCTTACAGGGCCATGTATTTACTCATGCAGAGAAAGGGGATAGTTTCTAGAACTTACACATAATTTTTTACTGGGTAAGTTTCAAACTCTCATAGCAATAAAGAAAATCTTACTAATTTGGTCATCACCTTTCTTTCAGTATCATATCCTAAATCTAATGCCCACATTACTGCTCCAGGCACTTTGAAAACTGCAGAAGGCCCTTTGCATAACTGTCTGTGTACTATGCTGTCTCAGTGCATTTTCACCTGGTGAGCATTCTGGAATTCCACTTACCCCCTTATAATTCAATAAGGCCAACTGTTAACCTGCAATGCTATGCCTGACTCCCCCCAAAGTAGTTAATGGCTGGCAATTGAGTACCCCTAAATTAGTCATCTTTCCCATTCCTTGTGGAACCAACTCTGCTTTACACATAAGAGACCCTTGGAGCTCTATCACTTGGCCAATTCATTAATGTTTGAATGAATGAACCCTGTTCCATTCACCAGAAGGTTAAATGAGGACTCTTGGCATAAGAGTAGAGGAGAAATGGACAGAAAGCATGAAGCCAGAAATCTCAGCCTCACAAAAGAAAAAGGGAACTATGAACCACAGGACTCAAGTTGGATTCATGTCTTCACAATAGCCAGTCTTTCTGAAAAAATGTGCAACTGTTTAATAGGCAAGTGTCAAATGGTCCCTGGGTTCCATTTTGTTCCCCATTACACAACAAGGTTATTGGATGGATTGCCTTTCCCTGTTCACTGAGTACTGAACAATTATGATCGTTCCACTGTAGAAATTATGGCTGAAGCTCATTTTAGTAAAAGAAAAAACTTACCTCAAGTCATTTCCCATAGAAAGATTTCCAGAAAACTAAATTAAGCTTTCTGCCAGTGTCATGCACTGTCAAAAGGATTCATAAACCGCAAAATAAACCCAAGAGCATAGTAGTTTAAATACACTACCTGAAAGAGTAACGATTCCCCTGGGTTGAGGCTGGAACCGCAAGTATTTGTTACAAAAGTCTGCAGATTCTAGGGCCAAAAACAAAACATTGCCCAAAAAGTAGCCCGCTGTTTGGCCCACTGAATTACAAGTAGAAGCATAACCCACGTTTTCCCGGGATAACATAGTTAACGCCCAGCCATCCACTGCGACGTCCTGAGTGGCAGCCAGGAATTCAAACAAAAAGAAAGTCACAGTGAGAGCCACCACGTCGGGGGCTGTGCCATCAGTATTTCCGAGCATGTGGTCCACCTGGGTGGATAAATAGATCATGAAGAGTCCCAGTATATACTGTGTAGGCACCAGCCAAGATTTGCGACGACCGAAGCTCCTAAAGTAAACGGCATCAACCAGTGGGGCCCAGAGCAACTTGAGACTGAAGGGCCAGAAGACAAAACTGAAGAAAGCTTGGTCCGTATAGCTAACATTTTTGCTCTGCAAAATGAGTGGGATGCTTCCCGCCAGGCCGAGGGGAATGCCCTGAAGCACATAAAGAAAAAGCAACAGCAAAATGCTGCTTAATTCCGCTCGGCAGCTCCGAGGGGCTTTAGGAAAGTCACCCGTGGCATCCCGCAGAAGGGCTTCTCTGTCCCCTTCCCCGCCCACAAAGTCCAGAGGACGGTCATCCCAGTCGCCCTGCGGCTGAGGCCCGCTCTTCAAGTCCAAGGAGTGGTTGAACGTCCCCGGCCGTCGCTGCCGACTGTTGTCCTTGTGGGAAATGGTGGGTGACATATCTGATACGATGCAGAGTCCGGTCTGGGGGGGGCCGGGGCTGAGCGTCTTGGATCCGACTGGTCCCAGGTCCCAGGCTGTCGCTCTGGACCGGGGTGCCGATGGCTCAGGGAGGGGGACAGGGCGCGGGGTGACAAGACAGCTTCTCACTGAAGCCGGGAGCCAGTTCCCTGGCTGGAGGTCCAGGCGACGCCCAGGTAGGCGCCCCGTGGAGCGGCGTCAAGCAGCCGGCAGGAGCCCCCCGGGCGGCCGCGTCAGGCTCGGGGCTGAAGGAGGGGGCCGTGGTGCTACGATAGGAAGGGCCCCGAGCCGCGGCCGGACCGAACAGCCAGTCCGCGGACCCGCCTCCAGGTCGCGCCGCCACCAGGGCAGCAGACAGCACTCGCGCCACAGCACTCTAGAGCTAACTTCCTGCCCCGCGCTTCAGGAAGTGGTCCCGGGCTCACCAGAGTCCTGTCCCCGCCTCCGCAGGGAACCAATCAGGATCCGCTCCCGCCACCCGCCTCGGAAACGACGCCTGGTAGGAACTCGCTAGCCCGGGAGCGAGGACCCCGTGGGAGCACTACCGCCGGCGCACCGCGCGGCCGGAGCTGGGCGCTGCGCGAGCCCAGGCTCTGTGAGCGCATGCGACCTTCTGGAAGGCGTGGGTCTCGCTGATTGGCCGGCTGGGTCACGTGAGGGAGGGTAGGCCGGGCCTGCGCAGGAGGCGGGGTTCTGCTACCCTGCAGCCTCCGGCTCCGCCGTGACCTTGGAGGCTTCGCCTTCAAGGCCAGCGAAGGCGTTGCCTGAACTCTGTGGTGGTGTTTTAGGGCAGCCCCGATATTGAACGGGTTACCTGGCTGTGGGTCCTCACCCGCGCGCTTACAAGGGACTTATTAATACTCCACTGCAGGGACACACAAAAGGTTAATAAAAGGTTTATTTACAAGGGAAAGGGAATTAAGGAAATGTACAACTCAGGGAGAAAATAGGGAAATAAAGTCTTTAATGCGTCCTACCCGATCCGACGACCTGGAAACCCAAAAAGCACTCTCAGATCTGGCCAGACTCCGTGAGCTGGCGGAGAGCCAAAATGGGGGAACCCCTCCAAAGCCCACTGTGTGGCTTTATACCAACCTGGCTGCTTAACCCCACCCTCAGGTCCCAGCCACCTTCCCTTTGGTGGTGATGGGATTTGGAGTTCCCAGTGTCTTTGGCCTGGGGTGGGGGTGGAGTCCACAAAACCTGTATGGAATTACCTTTAGGACATCCTTTTCCCCCTAACAGTGGGACTTGTGTGATGCCACTGCTTTCGTGAGCCGGGAAGAGACGGAGAGGAGAAGTATTGGAGTTTACGAAATTTCGTTATCGAGACACGGGGCTTTATGCTCCCCGAAACGGTAGAAAAGCCTGGCTAAACGGTGAAGGTGCCTTGAGGTGCCTTGGTATTTCTGGGATCAATGAAACTGACCCCCAATGAAAGGGAACTGCTAAGAAAAGGAAATCTTTCCCTGTTGAAAAGTCATAGACCTGGAAATGTAAATAACAAGTTTTCTTCCTTAATAAGTATATCTAAACAAGGTCTGGAAGCCTGCTAGGCTGATTGATCTCCCAGGCCATCCTGGAAGATCTGTATCCTTCCCCTTTTCCAGTGGCAAGAATTTGTATGCTAACTAACCAACTTTATCAATGTAAAGTAGTTGTGTATAAAGAAACTCTTTGTTTCTAGACCAGTGCTCAGACCTTATGGGACTACCCAGGTCTGAGACCTCATGCATGAGTATTAAAGCTTTCCTGACCTCATTATTCCTAAAGTACCGCTTGTTCTTCCCCTGCTTGGGTAAAAGGCTAGGATTTATTTTTGCAGCACCAAGATGCCAGGCTTCTCTGTAGTCGAGCTTTCCAACGTGAAACAAGGAGGACGGGGGTCTGGGGAACTAGGTTGGAATAAATTGTAAGACTCATTACATTCTTCCAGTTTTTTTTTTTTTTTTTTTTTTCCGAGTCAGGGTCTCGCTATGTTGCCCAGGCTGGAGTGCAGTGGCTATTCACAGGCGCGATCCCACTACTGATCAGCACGGGAGTTTTGATCTGCTCCGTTTCCAACCTGGGCCGGTTCACCCCTCCTTAGGCAACCTGGTGGTCCCCCGCTCCCGGGAGGTCACCATATTGACGCCGAACTTAGTGCGGACACCCGATCGGCATAGCGCACTGCAGCCCAGAACTCCTGGACTCAAGCGATCCTCCTGCCTCTGCCTCCCGAGTAGCTGGGACTACAGGCGCGCGCCACCACGCCCGGCCATTCTTCCAGTTTTTGAGATACTATAAAAGGTTCTTTTAGAGCCAAATATTTTCTTTCGTGTTAACTCGTTTGTATGCACTCGTGGAATAAGAAACAATAAAAGGGAACCATTAGCATTATAATATATAGAAAATACATTACCTATAAAAAGTGTTGCATATATTACAGATTGTTTTCTGTCGAGTAAATTGCACACCAAATCCAAAAACCTGTACGTGGCAGTTAAACATACCAAACCACACACGGTCTTAAGAGGTAAAACATGTTATTGCTGGCCTCTCACAAATACAATTGTTGACATAACAGTTCTTTCTCAAAAATGTGGAAAATAAAAGGCTGGTTTCCTGAAGAGGGACATTAAAATTTGAATACAAAGGTTACACACTGTTGAATGGAACCTAGAGTTTAGACAGGAAACCAAACTATACAAAAACTGTATTTCTGCAACTTTACAATTTCAGGAACGATTTTGCTATGCTTTAAGGAATGGTAGTTCTTAAGAGAAGTTTCACTTGTGGGTATTAAAGGTCTATGAACTTGCTGAAGTTGTTTATTTTTTTTTAAGACTTATTTATTCAAGAACCGGGGTACAGGCCAGATGCGAGGGAGGGTGAGAGGATTCACCACAGAGCTGGGAACAGAACAGGCAGATCTACTGAAATACACTGCTGAGAGGAGCAGTGTGTGAGACAGGAGAGGTCTGCTGTGCCATGTGGGTAGCTCCCTGGTCGGCTGGGGATCAAACTTGTGCTGTAGTGGCTGGCGATAGCTTGATAACGCTGTCTTTAACCCCTGTGCCACCAGGGAGGCCCTAAGCTGTGGACTTTGACTGATAATGACCTAGCAACATAGGTTTATTAATTGTAAGAAATCTCCCACTCTGGTAGAGATGATAATGAGGGAAGCTATGCTTGAGTGGCAAAGGAAGAGGTATGGGGGAAAACTCTACCTTCCTCTCAGTTTTTATTGTGAATCTAAAATTGCTTTTAAAAATACATCTATTTTTTAAAAACGTGCACTTCAAAATATAAATTTTTAAAAAATATTTATGCATACAAGAGCTGGGGTACAGGCCAGAGGTGTGTGTGTGGGAGGTGAGAGGATTCACCAGAGACAGAGTGGGGAACAGAACAGGCAGACTGTCTGAAATACATTGCTGAGGGGGAGCAGCGGGCCAGGCAGGAGAGGTCTGCTGTGCTAAGTGGATTGGTCCCTGGCTGGCTGGGGATGGAACTCGTGCTGCAGTGTCTGCGGATAGCTTCATAGGTTGCGTCTTAACCCCATGCACCACCAGGGAGGCCCCAATATAAATTTTATCTAATTAAAATAAGTGTAAAAAAACTATTTGTGTGGGGCTGGAGGTGATAAAGTTTTGATGAATTAAGAATAGCAGATTATCAATGACTATTAAAACGTGGTGATGTTGGGAATGCATTATACCATTCCGTTTTTTGGGTTTTTGTGTGTACATGTTCCAAATTCTCTGTGATGAAAATTAAGAATAATAATTTAAAAAAAACCAGTAAATTGTTACTATTAATTCTGCTATTTAGGGAAGCAAAATTATGCCACCCCAAAATATGTGTTTTTGGCAAAGGTTGATTTCATAGGAGCGACCCTGAAGAGTAGATGTTGGGTTTGAAAAAGATATTTATTTGTAAACTTTTATGAAAGAGTGTCTCCCTCACTGTGCCAGGAAGACCTAATCTCTTTCTTTTCAGTGGAGAAGGCAGGACTTATATTTGCTTTACCTTTGTTTACTGTGCCTTCCTTGGTAAACTCCTTAACTGACTTTCTCCACAATATCTTTTGTCTTACTTACGCTATTTAAGACTGTGTCTAAAGCCAGTTAAGTGAGTTACTCAGTAATGATGAGTTGCTCCCAAGTACACAGGGGTATATGTGTTATTATTAAACTTCTCTTTGCTTTTTTCCTTCTTATCAATCTGCCTGATGCTTGTTTATTTGCCAGTTCATTAATTAATTAAGATTTATTAAAAATACATTTATTAAAAATACATTTATGTATGCATACAAGAGCTAGGGTATAGGCCAGAGGTGCAGGGGGTGAGAGGATTCACCAGAGACAGAGTGGGGAACAGAACAGGCAGATTGACCGAAATACACTGCTGAGGGGAGTAGCGGGCAAGACAGGAGGTCTGCTGTGTTATGTGGTTTGCTCCCTGGACAGCTGGGGATCAAACACAGGCTGCAAATTGCTTCATAGTGCTGTGCTTAACCCCTTGTGCCACCAGAGAGGCCCTATTAGCCAGTTTAGAAGAACCAAGAGTGGTACAGGATGATCTCCTTTGCCCCCTGACAGCTATTCAGTTTGTGAGAAAAAAGAAAAACGAAAGAGTGACAGAATTTTACCAGAAGGATATTGATGGCATCCCCAATTCAGTGGAAGGGTGGGAGAACTGAGTTAGAAAAAACTCAGAAACCAATGTTAATCAAGACTTGAAAGCTGGAGTTATAGCCATGATTATAGAAAAATTTCCCCAAACTACTCCACTGCCAGTCCTGTGATCTGAGTTTCAACTTTTTCCTAGACTGTATTATAAAAATTAATACCACCATCTAGTGGCTCTTTCCTAAATGTGTGGGTGCAGATTTCTTGACTTCTCAGTTCACTATCATCTAAATGGTATCTTCTATATATTCCTCAGATTTCTTTAATTGCTTTTTTGTGGGGAGACAAAGGAAAGTTATTGAAATATACACCCAGAAAATTATAGTGTACAGCTCTGAATTTTGACAAATAGTAACCATCAAAATATGGAGCAGTTTCATCACTCCAAAAAATTACCTTGTGCTTTTTCAAAGTCAGCATCTCCACCCATCCTCCAGCCCCTGGCAACCATTGACCTGTTTTCTCTTCCTCTAGTATTACTTTTTCCAAAATGTCACGTAACTGGAATCATACATATATAGCCTTTTGAATCAGCCTTCTTCCCATCAGCATAACACATTGGCATTTATGCACATGTGGTCCTTATTGATAGTTTCCGTATTGATAATCTCTCACCTCTATCCTCCACCCTTTTATATTTGGCAGGGTAGTATTTCTTGTATGAATTACCAGTATTTGCTTGTCCATTCCCCAGTTCATACATTTGAACTGGTCATGGTGATTGTGAATAAAGT